CCTTTAAGAGATCATAGAAAAAAATTTGGTATTTTATGTCTATGTTTAAGGTCCCCACTCTATGGTTTAAAAAGTTGGGGTTTGGGGGCACAAATTGTAAAAGCAGAGACCTTAAAAATGGGTTTCAGAAATTTTCTTTAGCGTAAAATCATCCTAGCCTAAAAAAATCCTAGTGTATATGTATATATAGACTAGGGTGTCCCCAAAAAAAAAAAACCTCTCAATTTTTTTCCACTCTCTAAAGTCCAAATAGGTTAAAATTATCAAAAAAACACTTTTTATTCCAGTAAAGGTGATAGCTGTGAAATTTCATTTTTCAAAAAAAAGTGAAATTTTTTGTGGAAAATGAAAGTCTCTTAAAGATATTTATTTCTAGTTTAAGAAGTTATTCTTTGGCGACCAGTATGAAGTTCTTTATTGTGTTGCCCAATCAGTTGTCTCTAACCAAGTTCTGGATCAATAGGATAGTCTTTTCTGCGCAGCCATTGACACATTCAATTAGCTTCAAAAACCTTTTAAATAGGTAAAATGTCTAACAATCATTTCGCTTTATCCACCATTTCAACTCTCCAACATGAATCTCAGCTATCCTATCAGCTCAGTAAGATCCTACCAGCTCAGTAAGCTCCTATAAGCATGAATCACAACCTATTGAAACCCCGCTCAGTCAGCACCGTTGACCTGCTAATAACTGGTAGCTTTGGTTTCCCCATATGAAACTGCTCAGATAAATTAAAATGTGCCATTTTTATCATCTTTTTCTTTTCCTGAAGTGCTTTCCTAGGTGATGACCTAGGATACATTCATAGTCAAACTATAGACAAGCAGGTATGAAGCATTTACCAAACACCTTAGGAATGAATTATTATTGGTATTAAAAATATTTTTAAAAAACTCTAAAATGCATTTCCTCCCCCGCCCCCCCCCCCCCTCCTATTCCAAAAAAAAAAAAAAAAAAAAAAAGCAAATAATAATATAATTTGACTATTAATGGAACGCTCCAGATTGATAAAAAGAAATCTCCAAATAATTAAAGGACAACAAGTTCACATAATTTCTTGTAGTCCCCGTGTTAAACATCTCTGTGGTCAATGGCCTCTTGAGGAACTTCAGGGACTCCCTTTTAATGTTGATTGAAATCAACCCAATCTGTTACCCATTCTAATCAAACCTGATATGCTCTGTCTTATCCACCTCGTTTTGAGTGACCAGCCTTTGTATAATCTTATATATAGTGCTTTAATGTGCCATTTTATTTTCTCATCAGTGAGATCATCCAAAAAATGAGAAATGTATTGGCTGCAGATAAATCAGAACACGGAAGATTGTGAAGATGGTAAAAACTCTAAAAATGAACTTCTGTGTTGGAGTGTTGGAAGCAGTCACAGCATATAGCAAAGATCTGATCATCAATCTTGTAATACTCTCGTATATTATGATCACATATGCCTGGTCAACTCTCTTGGAGCGTTCAGCTTTATTTTAAGATTGATGTCATTTGTGTTGTCAATATTATTGAATGATGTGTTGAATCTTGTTCTTCACATCCATTAAAAGAGAAGTAACATATGTTTCACTCTTGCAAGTAAGATATTCACCAGGAAACATTTGAGAACAAGCTTCAACAGACTTGGTAACTTTAAACAGTAAAGAATTTTAAAATAGTCATCAGTATTTATTTATAAAATTGCATATCTGAGGTTTTCCAATACCGAGAAGCTGGTTAAAATATTCTATTAATCAGCTGCTTATGACAGCTGGTTGATTGAATACTTTACAGGCTTTACAGCTTTCTGGTATTAGTGTATGTCTTCATCTTTTTTCCTTTATTTGCGTCTAACAGGACAACCAATGTTAGCCACAAAACTGAACTTTTTAACTGACCAAAGATAACTTAAATTGGTGTGTGACATGTTTTTTTTATAAGAGAATTATACGTTTATAAACATATAAGGATTAGGTTATGTTTAAAAATTAAGTGCATGATAAGTAGTGAATCCAAATCTGGATTTCGGAATTTCGGAATTCCAAAATTCCGTCATATTTTGAATTTTTAAAAATCCGGAATTCAAAAACGTAAATTCCGGATTTTTCGAATTTAGAATTTCGATTATTTAATTCTTATTTTATTTTTGAAGTTATTTAGAACTGTTTTTATAAAAATTTCAAAAAAAACTTTTGTTTTGTTTTTATATTATGTATTTCTTCCGTTCTAAAAATTTTAATTTTTATTACTAAAAACGTTTTTCAACAACAAAGTTGTTATCCTCAGTAGTATAATACAACAGTTTTTAGTAATAAAAATCAAAATTTTTAAAACAGAATAAATACATAATATAAAAACAAAACAGAAGTTTTTTTTTGAAATTTTTAGAATTTCGAATTTAGAAGAACTTTTACTATAGATGGCAGCATTGTGTACTTTCATTGTTATAAATTCAAAAAATTTTAGTAGGCTTAGGCTACTGCAAATGCTTTAAAATTTTTTTTTTAATGAAATATTAACATTAATAAATTAAATTGTATGCAGAGCAGACAAAGTAAGTCATTATATTTATTTTATGTTTCAAAAATTTTGTAGACTTACATTGTTATTGTTTTAAATCCCAACCCAAGTATGGTAGATAAATCTGAAGAAACTTTTATGGACATTTCAAAAGAAAGCTCATCAAATTCAGTGTGGAAATATTTTCTACGAGGGAAAACAAATTAGGTGGCGAAATGCATGCAATGCAAGCAAGTTTTAAAGATATTGGGTGGATGTACAACTCCCTGTGAACAAATTTTGTGTTTTGCTCATGCAATTCAGATTGCAATTGTAAATGTGATCTACAAACAAACAGAGAAAGAGGTAGATGAAGATGATTATGAGAGTGTCCTAGATCTGGACTCTGATGAAGAAGATTTAAGTGATGATGAAGGAATGCAAGTGGGGACGAGAAATTAATGTGATGTAGAAATTACTGAAAAGTTTACATTGCGAAATGTAATCATGAAAGTTCGGGTAATTGTTCGAATGTTTCGACGTTCCCTCTTTAAAAAATGAAGTGTTGCAAAAACATGTGAAGGAAGATCATGGAAAGGAATTGCAGGTATTGCTTGATTCGAAGACTAGATGGAGCAGCCTGATGTCTTTGTTAGAACGTTTTAATCTTTTGAAAAGTTCAATAAAAAAGGCAATAATTGATATCAAAGCGGATACATTTTTGAATGATTCAGAATGGAATATAATATCTACAGTTTCTAGAAATTTGAAGCCTATAAAATTAGCCGTAGACGCGTTATGCCATGCTGATGCAAATTTACTTTCTGCAGATGCAACATTTACGTTTGTGTTAGAAAATTTTGATGAGAATGAAGAAATTGGCCGTGAAATGAAAAAAGAGTTTGAAGTTCAAATTAATCGAAGAAGAACTTTGGTATCTGATGTTCTTCAATATTTGCATAATGGGGGTAAAACCAAAATTCACAAGAACATTTTGCGTCGCTCGAAAACTGAAATTAACAAAATTATCATATCCCTAATCCAAAGACTTAGTGGTGAAGTAGCATTAGAAATAGACCGGACAGTATCTGAGTCTACTGAAATGGATGACGATAAACCTATCGAATCATTGGAAACTCAGTTATCCTTGCAGGAAATTCTTCAGCAAAAGATAAAGGAATCACTCTCGGAATCATGATCAAAAGTTCTACAAAAATCATCGATTCATTCCGAAATTCGCAGTGAAATGAAATTTTGGGATGAAGGGGGATCCCGCGGACCGCTTTTGGAAGATCTTTACAAAAGTTTATTAACAATTCCACCAACTAGTGTGGAGTCAGAGCGTGCTTTTTCAACGACAAAACATTGGATACTTTGTGCTTATTAAGAACCTTTTTCAAAAATCAAAATGAAAATTGAACTTTCATTTTGCAATTTTATTTATGTAGTTCAAAAATATTTTAATATGAAATATTTCCTTATTTTGTAATTTGTTTTAGTTTTATTGTTTTGAACTAAATACATTTATGTTAAAAAATAATGTACTTTCTTTTCTTTATATTTTTTAAATTCTTCTATAATAATTCCGGAATTAAACCGGAATTCCGGATTTCATCTCCTGTAATTCCGAAAATCCGGAATTCAGTTTTTTACAAAAAAATGGATTCACTAATGATAAGCATTTTGTTGTGTCTTACTTTAAATCAGGCATGTTTCAGAATACTGAAATTTCTGTTGGTGTTTAATCGATGCATGAAAACCATTTAGTAAAGTTATTGGGTTGCAAACAAAAATATTTATATGTAAAACTAGATGATTTTTTTCTTGACCACAAGGTGCACAGGAATGCACACGGTTTTGTAAGCTTAAGTAAGTTATTATATAATTATCAGAAATATTTAACCCTGTATAAACTCAATATTCATATAAAATTACACTAATAATAGTATTATTCACATTACTATTCATCAAAAAATGTTTAAAAAAACAAAAAAATAAGAAAAATAATGAGAAATTAAAAAGATTTAAATTTTTTTAAATTTTACAAAAATTATTTTTTGAAAACTGATTTTTTTTTTTTTTAGTTACTAATAGCCTTCAGACTTCAGAGAATGGCAAAAACTTGAGAAATGTTCTCAAAAAGAAAATAACTATTTCTGGTACTAATATTGCTGAGCTCTAATCAAAATTATGCATGTTTTTGAACACAAATCTATTAATACCGGAATTTTTTAAGGTATTTATTTGATGGATAAAAAGCATCATATAAACACTTTAAAATTTCTTGTTAGTCTTGTAAAAGAAAAAAGCTTTTTTACAAGACTTACGAGAAAGCGCCATTTTTGTAAGCTTTATCGTATTTCCGAGCTTCTCGATACTTTTTACGTAAACATATCCGAGCCCTATTCTAAAAACCAAAACTATGCTTTTAAAAAGCCATAACAACCCTATTCAACTTAGACATCATTATTAACTTTGTTAAAAATAAAATAAAAAATAAATAAAATTTCATTACATATTAATCCAACATTGATGTAACAGACATTTATTTTCGAAAAAATCAGTTTTTTCAAATTTTTCAGCCATCAGTTCTTGGCTACGAAATATTTTTTTCTGTTGATCTTTTTGATACACCCTAATATACACACATGCACAGAACATATAGTGACAAAAAAATAACAAGAATATTGAAATTTTATCAAATTGAAAAAAAAAGTTTTTTCAATTTGATAAAATTAATGTCATAGCTGGAAGATAGCGTTTTTAATCAACACTAAACTTTTTAATGATATAGAGATCCTAACCATAAATCTCATCGCTTAACTCATCTAAATCTCATCACTTAACTTATCTTAATCTCATCGCTTTACTCATCTAAATCTCATCACTTAACTCATCTATTTGTCATCGTAGTAAGTGACCCAGATTATTATTTGACCAGGGCTGCAGATGTGACCGGGGTTGCATAAATATTTATACGTCCTAAAGTATGTTTTTTTATTCAAAATTCATGTTATATTTTGTATATATATGCATATAAAAACATCATTATGATCAACATGATTATCATAATCATCATTATTGTCATGATGATGATGATAATGATGATGCTCATCATCATTATCATCATGATGATCATCATCAACAGCATAAAATAGGAAGGCTAATGATGATGATAATCATGATCATCATGATAATCATCATCATCATCATCATCATTACCATCACCATCATCATCATCAGACTTTAGCCTTCCTCTTTTATGCTGTTTCTCTAATACAAAAAATCTAGAGCATTTTTTTTCTTAACTAAAGCTCATTCACACAACATGAAAGGCACTTACATATTGTATGAATAAGCTTTAATTAAGAAAAAAAGCTCTTACATATTGTATGAACGAGCTTTCGTCTTCAGGTTTTCTTATTACCACTACAATTTTCTACTGAAGCTGCTTCTCTCTACATGCTGATACCTAAATTACTTTAATCTTTTCTAATAAACGTTGTTCAATACAATGCTTTATTTAAATCTGTCTGAGATTATGCCTTCCCTTTTTGTCTTGCTAGAGTCACACCTCCATCTGATCATCTTCTTTTTTGGCAAATACTAATCCATATAAATACTAAAGTTTATATAAGAATGAAAGGTTATTGTATGCCAGCATCTAAACATATATGTTTACATCCATAATATGTATGCATAAAGTGCATCTTTATAAATAACGAAGTTTTTATTCCTTCTGGAAAAAAAACTTCTAAAAGTTTGGAAGCTTTTTTAACTTCTCTTCAATTTAAAGTCAAGCCTCATTCTACTCCACATTTTTCACCATCTTGAGCAAAAAAGTCCTGTCTGATGTTAAGCTATGTTATTCTCAGTTTACTAAATCTTGTATCTTATCTCAAATGTTAGGTTCTAGAGACTTTTGGTTAGTCAATAACTAAATAGTCAGTGTCAATAACTAAAGTAGGTCTAGCATTTAATCTCTAATTCATGGGTCTGATCTTTTTACTTTTCACTAGAATAAAGCAGAGTTATTTGCAAAGAAATCTTACTCTAATTAACTCTTGAATATAATGACCATACTCCTCCTGGCAATTAAACAGATTAACCCATTGTTATCCAAATCACTCTGACTTCCAATGCTAAAGTTAATTCTCAATTAAACACTTCTACAGTTTGTGCCCCAGACTAGATTTCCATCATAGTCTTAAAAAAGTGTTCTCCAGAACTCTCTTCAATTTTTGCTAAACTTTTAAAAAGTGCTAAATAAGAGGTTCCAATTTTTTAAAATTCTAGAAAACACCTCTCCACCTATCCTACAATTAGTTTTCACTCTGTTATTAGTTTCTTTATATAAAGGTCTTGAGATTAATTATTTCTTTCTAACTGCAGTAGTAAAGTTATTCTTGAAGGCCTACCCTCTTCTTTATTCAAGTAACTTTAAGGGTACCACAAGGTTCTATCTTTGCTCCTGTACTGTTTCTTATCTACAATAACGATCTTCATGAAATCTAAAGTGACTCTATTTGCTGACGACTCAACTTTATACTTGTGTCTTGACAAAAAATCTTCACTTTATAATTACTTATAACAAACAGCCGATTTTAAATCTGACCTCTCTTCTGTGACAACCTAAGGCTTGCAGTGGTTTATGGATTTAAATTCTAGACTTGAAATCAACAATTTTTGTAAAAGGAAAAAACTCATCTATTTACTGCAAAAAAAATGTAAGCATAAAATTATAATATATTAAGTATTATAAATTTTTTTCTAGCTCCAGCTACTTATTTAACCCCTACTAAATTCTATAAACTTGTCGGGGTCAGTTTTGCAAATAGTCTCATTTTTAGACGGGGCCAAGGGTCCCGGTCACTTACTATCTCATCCCTTAACTCATCAAAATCTCATCACTTAACTCAGACTTAATAAAAAATTTTATTTATTTTAAAAACCAGATTTTGGATTAAGATATTTTAAAAGCCAGGTTTTGGATTGCCTTCATTAATTTTTATGTTTTTTAAATTTTCTTCTTGATTTATTCTGAAGGTTGTTTACTAAATTAATCTTCCAATTTTTTAATCCATTTTTTTATGAAACAATTACTAATTTGTAAAAGGGCTAAATAAATCTATGCGCGCAAAATAAACGAGTAAAAACAATAATATTCAAAAAAAGTTTTTAACTCACCATTTACCTTTTGGAAGTTGTTAGCTAATTTTCTGATGAGAATGTGTTATATTTAACAGTAACTAAAGATTTGACAACTCTTAAAGGTGTTAGAATATGGCAAACTCCTATTTATTTTAAAAGTAATTTACTTTCTGTTGTATTAAAAAGATCCTAAAGTGCTGAGACAAGTTGTGTTCATATTCGCTGGCATGTTAGCTAGTCTCTCAAAGTCTTTAAAATATACGCTGCAATCTAAAGACTTTATAATTTATTCATGCCCATTTGATTCCAAAGAGTTTTAGTATATGATGTCATTGTAGAACTTTTGAATCAATATTATTTGTTTTTGTTTTATTTGTTTTTTGAAATAAGCATTTATTATCAATCGTATGATTTTCCCATAAATTTTATAGATAGCTAAACAAAAGAACGTTTTTTTTTTTTATATATTTTTATATATTATATTTTTAAAAAAATAACAAATTGATTCTTTTTTGAATAAAAATGAAATTAGAAAGAAATTACTCTTCTGTAAAATCTTTCACTATCATTTTTTTTTTTTTTTTTACTTCTTTGTTTTCACTACCATTCTTATTTTAAATCTTGTTAAATGGTATTGAAAACAATATTGCAACATTTTCTTTCTTCATAATTTACACTTTTATGTCACTTAAATTGCTTGCCACAGTAAATTTTTGTCATAACTAATACCTCAAGTTCTCATTAATCAGGGAATGTTTATATAAAAATATTATCAATTAATTGATTCTTTGAGCTAATTTCTGTCCACCAAGCTTATATTAAGAAATCAAACAAATTTGCTTACCACCTAATAAATGTAAAACAAAAACAGACTTACCTTCGTAATCGGTCAGCAGTTTCTAAAGTCTGCTGCTTTTGCCTATGTAACAAAACACGAAGTGTTTCACGAGCCTGAAAAACATCAATTGTTTACAAAACAACACTTAAAGACAAAAAATTAAGTACCAGAGATATAGTAAACGAAACAAAATGCATATAAAAATAGCATAGCAGGCTTGGACGGAAACAGCGTGCGATTGCACTGGCCACGCTAATAATTTTTTTTCTTTACAATTTGACCACACTGTTTTAATGTTTTACCAATTTAAATGCAATGAAAAAAATTGTAAATTTTTTATAAAAATTTTTATAAATGAAAAAAAATAGTAAATTTTTTATAAAAATTTTTTTTTTTTTTTTTTTTTGCAACTTTAAAAAAAAAAATGTTTATACAATTTAAAAATATTATATTTTTTTCATTTCAATAATTTAGTTTGACTTTTTTAATAAACAACAGTTTAAATAAAAGTTGTTTATTTATAAAACAATGATTAAAAGTAATTTATTTAAAACGTAATTAAAAATGTGACAAAAAGTAAACTTCGCTTTGAGTTTAAGTTTTATTTTAAAGCTAATTTAATTTTGCAAGAAACTGTTTGTTTTTTTAATTTTTTTTATAGTTTCCAGATTTAAAAATGCTAAGCTAAACTGTTTAGCTTTACGTCTTATTTTTCAGCACATTTCTAAAATGTTTAAATCATCAAAACATCTAAACAGTTGTGGTCAAGTTGTCAACAAAAAAAATCATTTATGAGGTCAACAATAGCGTTCGATCGCATGTCATTCCTGTCCATGCCTGCATAGATGAAATAAAATATCTTATTGATGAGGTAGTGAATTAATGAATGCAACAAACTTGATGAGGACGAAATTCATTGATGAGATGATGAAGATTGATAAACAAGACTTTAATTTCTTCAATTTTTTTTTGCCGCTAAAAAACAAAAAAAATAACATATAGAATTATCATAACAACATGCAGAAAATAATAAAAAATATCTAAATATAATATATAATTATAAATATAATTTATAACTATAAATATTAATTTTGTATATTAAAAAATAATTTTAAAATATTTTCAATATTTTTTTCATAATATATATATTTTATTCATAATTAATGTTTAAGAGCGCCTTAATTTTTACATTTCCCTTGATTATTACAGAATTAGGCAAAATACAAATTTTTAATAGTGACTTCCTCTATTAAGAGCATAATCATGTATGACTATGCTCTCAATAGATAATAATATCATTGAGATCAAAATATTATCCATTGAGATCATAGTCATAGTCAATATGTTTCTTCCACTGAGTAACTCAATAATATTATATGAATAACAGTTAAAATAGCAATAGACAAGTTGTATTTAAATAGATAAATGTCAAAACTATTGTTATTTAAATCAATACTTAGTATATTTACCAAAATATGTTTAAAGTTCATTCATGCAAAGATTATTCAACATAAATATTCCTAATAACTTTCTTTAATTAATTAATTTTAATTAATTTTTGATAAAAAAAAATTTTTTTTAATGATAAATCTTTATTTAGTACTAAAAAATACAAATATATTTATGTTAAATTAAAAGATTAGCCTCAAAATCTAATATGAAAAAAGAGTTTGATTAACACAATTTGTGTGACATCAAAATTGCTAAAGCTCATGGGTTTACAGTAAAAATTTATTTTCAAAAATGGGAATTGACCTTTTATCTACCATATTTATAAAAAATACTTATGGGGGAATTGCAAAAAACTAACAGATTTCATTTTTTGTTTAAAAGACGTTGTTAAAAAGTGTTTTCAGCAAAATAATTAAACTATTTTAATTAATAATTAATTAAAATTGAACACTAAAACTAATAATAATTCTTAAGATACACAAATATTTTTCTACTTTTTACTTTTGCTTATTTTTGTAAATATTAAGTTATTTGTCATAAAGTAAAATTCAGTAGAACAAGAAAAATCAATTTAAAAATTAGATTAAAATTTTAATTAATCTAGTAATTAAAACTCTTAGAATTCTAAAAAACCTGCAAAAAATTGATCAAGTGTTGATATTTTAGTCAGAAAATGTGCGTTATTTAAAAAAAGGGCCAGCTTTATTAGTTTAAAGGGCCAGCCTTACAAGTTTGAACAATATTCTTATAAAACCTATGTATAAACAAACCACAAAAAATTGATAAATAAATAAAACTGACTTCTGGTGATGCTGGAGCATAAATCATTATGTCAACAAGTTCAAGATAATTCACCAGTATGGAGTGGTTAAGCTTTTTCATTTCCACAATATGATCTATTAAAGATTTGTTGAAAAAGTTAAAAATTTTATTTTTTAAGCATTATTATTTATTATTGTATACACTTTTAATATTTTATATTTTATTATACTAAACATTGAAATAATATCCTTAAGTAGACTTAAAATAAATACAAAAAAAAGTAAAAAATGACAAAAAAATATAGTTTTAATTTTATATATCAAATATAAATTATAATTTATATTACTACACATTTATATTACTAATCAAATATAAATTATAATTTATATTACTACACATTTATACTACTAATCAAATATAAATTATATTTATATTACTACACATTTATATTACTAATCAAATATAAATTATAATTTATATTACTACACATAAATACATATTATATAATATACAATTTATTTATATGTTATCAGGCCTCAGAACTAGGGTCGACATTCAACAATGCCAACCTAAAAGTGTTTGAGGTTGGCAAAAAATTGCCAACTTTGTTTTAATGTTTTATGGTAACCCTTTTGTGTCAAATTTTTTTGCCAACTTGATGCCAAATTAAAACAGTTTAAGGTTGGCAAAATGTCGACCTCGTTTTTCCTAATTCCGATGGTTATATTATATGGTATATATTATACACATATAAATATAAATATATATGGTTGTAATAGCACAAATTTCATAATAAGTCTAATAAATATAATTTTTTTTTTTTAGTTTCAACAACATGTTTCAATTAGACAATAATAATTATTAAGTTTAAAACTGTTAATACAAAAACTATTTAATATATAGTGAAAAGAAACATTTGACTCATTAGTCAAACAAAAGAAAATAAGAAAAAATGAAAACCTACGTCATAGAATAATGGAAAATGTAGAAAACTAGTGTAACACATACATCATAGAGTGATTACAGCTGGAGTAATAGCTTGTAATTAAAAACCTGTTTATTAAGATCAGGTTTTTCCCAATAATGTGTAACGCTTCTTTGACTTTTAAGTGATATGAAGTTTGGGGGTAGTCTAATACTGAAAAAGAGCCTTTACTGGCTACATCAAAGCAACTACTGGCTACATTAAAGCAACTACTGGCTACATTAAAGCAACTACTGGCTACATTAAAGCAACTACTGGCTACATTAAAGCAACTAGTTTTTGAATAAATATGTTGATTTATATAAGTTTTTTCTGATTAAATGTTCCTCAATTCTTTTACTCAAATATCGAATATGGTTCTATTTATTAGACTTATTATAAATTATATAATACACATTATATAAATATATATTATATAATATATATTATAAACTATATAAATAAATAAATACATGGATTTACCCACAGCTACTGTGTTTTGCCCAAAAAAAGGGTAAGCTGGCAAAAACACTTGCTCAGCTGTGCAATAAATTATTATATTACTTTATAATTTTTAATATTCTAGAGTTTTCTGGTGGAATAGTTCGCTATTCACCATTAAATATGATTTTAGTTTTTTCTTATAAATAGTTGTGTTTTTTTCATCTTGAATGATACTTGGAAGAATATTCCAAAGTCTAGGACCATAGTGGGATACCACTTGATCACCAAAACGATTGCTGGATTTTGTTTCTTTTAATTTCAGAGTTCTCTCTGACGTTGAGAAGTGAATCAAATTACACAATGATGCTGGTGCTTTCTGGATAATAGACTTGTGCATTATTAATAAAACATTGAAATAAATTCTTTCTCTAATTTTAAGCCAATGCAAATTGATAAATACCTGGTCATTTATTTGATTTTCTATTCTGGTTTTAAATACTAGTCTTGCTGCACAATTTTAAAAAGACTGCAGTTGTTTTAATAGTTACTTCAGTGAAAAAATTAATTGTTTTAATAGTTACTAGCAGTGAAAAAATTAATGAACATACTAAGGTGCACAAATCTTTATGCGATAAGAATTGTTTTATTTTGGATATTTTGCTGATTATATTGTAACAACTTTTCACAATCTTATTTATCTGTGCTTTCAAAGACAATTCATTTTCTAGTATCACACTCAAACTTTTTGTGGAGTCAACAAATCTAATGCATTCCTTGTTAACAAAAGTACCTTTAATAATAATATCTTTTTGAATGTTAGATGGTGCCATAATTAATATTTTTGTTTTCGATTGGTTAATGCAATATAAAATATAAAATATACATATAAATATATGTTATATACATATAAATACATACTATATACATTTAAATATATACTATAATATATATTATACACATATAAATATAAATTATAAAATATATATTATATACATATTGAATATATATTGTATAATATATATTGAATATATATTATACAATATATATAAAAACATATAAATATACATTATATAATATAAATTATATAGATATAAGTATATACATAAAATATAATACAAAATTAAAATCAAAACCAAAATCTTCTTCTTTTGAATAAAGCCGCATTATTCCTTGAGACTCAAGTGGCTGTATTATCTGATCATCTGTCTAAAAAATTCAAACTAAAAAACTCTAGTTATCAAATGAAAATTAAGAAAATTAAGAAAATTTTTCTTATTAAACATTTAAAAAAAAATTGAATATATTTATATTTATTATACTTGTTATTAATTTATTATTGTTTTGTAGTATTCTAAACAACACTATGCTTAAGGTCATAATAATCAACTTGTTTCTCCACGCAGCGGCCTTGTTTGTCAAGGTTTTTGTTTCGGAGTTATAGAGTTGTAACCACAATTATAGTAACCTCCTCGACTGTAGTGACCTTATCAGCCTTGGGGAGGTGAATTAACATTGAATAAAAAAAAATTGGATAACATTACTTAATAAATTCTGTGCAAATAAGTTATGGGTAAATAAATTATACTCCCTCCGCTCTGAAATATTGTTCAAATTTGCATTCAACATAAAGAATTATTTAAAATAAATTATTTCATTAATTTTTATAATTTTTTAAAATAAAATTTAGACGTTTTTCTATGATATACTATAGAAATATCTAGGACATTTTAGAAAAACATCTAAATTTTATATTACGCTGAATACAAATCAGAACAGTATTATGGAACAAAGGGAGTATAATAAATACTTGATCAACTATGTTATATATGAAAATATGTTTTTAAATATTTATATATAGGCCAAACATAAGCTGTAATGGATAGGGAAAACAATATATTGTTTTTAAATATAAAAAAATGTTCTTAATTTTTTGTTTGATTCCACTCAAACAAAAAAAAAAAAATGCATCATTCTATATTTAATGATCTTTCTTAAAACATAATAATTTTCATTTGCAAGTCTAAAATTAAACACAGTCATTCATCCAAAACATTGTTTTTAACAAATTTTTACACTGTAGCTTGTTAAAACAAAAATAATTATTAATTTTTTATTAATTACTTATCAATATTTTCTAATGCTAAAATTGTAGAAAGGCAACTGTTTAAGTAAAAATTATTAACAGTAACAAAAAAATACACTGCCATAACATTACACCAGTATAAAAGAAACTTATCACCTAATAAATTGTAATGGTGAACACCAGTATAAAAGAAACTTATCACCTATTAAATTGTAATGATGTACACTAAATTAACATTCTCAACATTAACAAATTAAACAACCATTTTAAAATAAACAAAAAACGTTACATAAAAAAAATTTATAAATAAAATCAATCAATGTTTGGTTTCTTATTTTAAATTTAATTTTAATGTAATTTAGTAGTTAATTTTACATTGAGATTTTGGAAAGCAGTTAAATGATTCTTTCATAAATTAATCTATAGTCATAAGACTGATTTAAAGAACACATAATGGGAATACTTGTAGACACAAACACTTAGGGGCTGTTTATATGATTTGGCTGGCCCAGTTAACAAGGATGACTGAAAAAATTTTAATTTAAATTTGAAATAAGTTTTTTTATTTTTATTCAATTGTTGTTTTAAAAACAATCAGTAGTGTTTTAATAAGATAAAAGAATTAGCATGATTTATTTTATCAGCTCATTGGTAGGCCGGCTGTTCACCTGTTTGTGTTTATATGGAAAAAATTGTTTCACCTGAGTGGGATCCCACTGAAATTAGGCAAGTTCTCAGTTACTCAGGCTAGGCCATTTCACATCTAAAAAAGATAAATTTTTATAGATAAATATTAAACATGACAAGATTTTATTTAAGTGAGCCAGCCTGGCTAACCGGGCTAGCCCCCCACATATAAATAGCCCTAAGAAAAGAAAACATTTTCAGAAACAACATAAAATAAGTCAAGAATATAAAGTTCTGTCTTAACAAAAAGTCTTTTTTTTCAATCGCTTAGAACAGGCGGCCAATCTTGAATTTGATCTTTCTTTGTAACAACTTGGAGCTTTTCTGATCTCTCTTAGAACTGAGAGGGCCACTAGAGTGGAGGCTGATTTATAGTGATTACAACCCTCTTTCAACTTCAAAATATAAATCTTGACGAATAAGGCTGCTGCACAGAGAAACAAGTTGATAACGATACTACGATACTGCCAGTGTTCTACCACTACACCACTACAGAATTACCCTTTGCATTAGATTGCAAATTTTAACTCCAAATAAACTCGCAAACAACTACCACAATATTGCCAATATTCCTATAATAATAAATGGCAAACCCTCTCACTGAGATTACTAAATTCTCATATATAAAGCCCGTTACGAAGTTAGCATCTGCTAAAGATAAAATCTTCTTTTTTTTTGTGCTCACCATTATCTTACTCCTAATCCCATTATATTACTCCTAATACTTCTACAAATTTCTTATTTGTCCTTGTTTGAAATATTGTTGTCATATTTGAGCTACTTCTTCTAATGATGGTCTTTCTATCCTAGACAAGGTCTAAAAATGCATTTTAAATGTAGTTGGATCTGCCAAGCTTGAGTCACTCTCCCGTTGCCGTTATAAATACTAACATGGTTGCTGCTCAAACAAGCTATCATCTCTAGTTCCATCAATCAAAACTCATTTTTGCTTGACTCATCATTTAGCAAAATCTCATACTTTTATTGTTGTTTTTTTTATATCAGGTTTATTTTTTACAAAATCAACCTAGTTCAAATTTTTTTTAAAAAAGAACAAATATTAATGTAAACTAATAACTTTTAAAGAAAAAGAACAATATTATTGTAAATAAAACAAATATTAATAAAAATTAAAGTTTATAATTCAAACAACAAATTTATAGTACATTGATAAGTTTTAAAACTGTATTATTCACTATTTATTTAAAAAGGTTATAGTTAGCAATGAAAATTTAGATAAGTAATATTAGTACACAAATAAATACAAGTTAAATTTGCAAAATAATACACTGATCCAAATTAAAACATGAGACTATCAATTAAACAAAAAATAATTCTTATAATATAAATACTTATAAAACAATGTAATAAAATATAGCATGTTAATTACCTTAAATATATGCCCATACATGGAATATTCTCCAACAACAACTTTTGGAGGTTTAGGTGCCAAATCATTTTTTACATTTTCGTTAGTGTAATGTTGGTAGAAATGCAACGGAGGTAATGGAAAAGATAGCTGTGCATCTTCACCAGGAACTACATTTGCCATTGCTTGTAAAACTTTTTTAACTGTTTATATAAAAGAAATACTAAGACTCTTGGTGTTTACTCTTGTATTTTAAGCATAAGTAAGTTTAAAATCTAAATTTAAAAAATAAAATAGTATAATAGATAAAAATGCGCTGATTAATTCTGCTCAGTTAGGAAATATTTTTAAGAGCAATTTTTGTTCGAATAAATGAATTGATTGCTGTAGTAGATTTTTAATATCACGTGAATAATGTCCCTTTAAAAACACTCAAGCTTTTGGGTGGGTTTAGAAGTTATAGCATTGCAAGTTTCCAAATAGGTTCATAACAATATTGAAGTAAAATTGAATTAGTTTAAATTAACAATAAAAAAAAATTTGAACCTTGTGAATTAGAACCTTGTGAATTAGAATCTTGAGTGTTTAGAGAATTCAGCTCTAGCATGATCTAATAGAATTCTAGCATGATCCAATTTTTCAACTGCAGATTATAGAGGTGCCTACTAGACAAACTTTAAATGTTATATTGAGATAGTTTACAGTCTTTTTTCTCAAAAACTTTGAGCTGTAGGGATAGCACAATACAAAAATAGCTGTCTGTGACATGAATTTTTGGATTTCTTCATATTATAGGAACAGTAAAATACATGCAATATATATATGGCACATCTTGCTTTACCACCACATAGCAAAAGTTATCAATGCTATTTACACACTTTTAAGGCATTTTTATTTTTTAGTTTATTATTATTCACTCCAAACAAGGGTGCAAGCGACCACTATTAAATTTAAAGTTACTAAAAAAGAAGATTAGAGTTATAAAGCAAGGAAACAGGTGACAGAAGACTTGAGCTTTAGGTTGTATTGTTGAAGCTTTAGGTTGTATTGTCCAACTATGTTTACAATGCATTTTTGGACTTTGTCTAGAAGAGAAAGAGCATCATTAGAAAAACCAGCTCAAATATGACAACAGTATTTTATACAGGGAAAAATAAGAGATTTTTAGTGAAAGAGAATGGATTCATTAGTAATAAAATGATGAGCATGTTAAAGAAAAGCAACCTTAACAGATGCTAATTTAGCAATCGATTGTTCATATGGTTTACATGAAAGGTTAGTAGTAAATGATAAACCAAGAAGATGTAAAGAAGAGAACTCAGTGTAATAAAGGAATGTTGACAGTATTGCGAGCTACTTTAGACGTAAAGTTGTTGGGAAAATTATTTCTGTAGATTAGAAACAAAACAGGACCAATGATAGAACTTTGAGGTATCCCAGAATTTACTGGAAATGAATGCTAACTGATGTAAGAACCTGTACTATACAAAAGTTTGTCTGCAACTGACTGTAGAATAATAGAAAAGATATTTAATTAGTGAATGTGACTACTAAGCCCAAAATTCTTGTAAATGCAATGATACAGCAGGAAATTGTTGTTAATGTGATGACTTAACAAGACTGAAATGAACATGTATTTATTACAAAATAAAGCTATAATTGGTTGATTTAATAAAAATACACATTCACTACCTTAACTTAAAAACACAGCTCTCATATTTTAAATATGAGAGCTGTATTTTTAAACTTTCAAATTTGAGAACTGTATTTCTAAGGGCACTGTTTCAGTTGCCTACCCCTATTATTTTATGATTGATTTTGATAAAGAATTTCATGCTGATTAAGATTAGTAAAAAAACATTGACCTGAAAATTTGAGGAAAGCACTCTAATTTGATGTCGAAGTTTAAAAAACTACACTAAAAACGATAATAATCGCCATTTTCTTCATATTTGATTAGTTTCGTTTTCTAAGTTAACTTAAAAACTGCCAGGCTTTTATTATCACTTTAAAGAATAACTATTTAAAGCAAAACCCATTTGTTTCTAATTGATTCTAACCCAAACCCTAACCCTGATCCTAACGATGTAGATTTAATTTTGCCAATCCCTATTTGTCAGTCGATGTATGTCCATCTAAAAAGTTGTCTCAAACATTTCTTATTTAAAAAAGTTATATACTCATTAAAATATTTAACTGAATTTAAATAAATGTCAATAAAAACGACAATAAAAACCGGGTTGCATAGACAATAAAAACCGGGTTGCGTACAAAAAAGATTTTCTACACAATTGATTTCTAAATAAATACCGATTAAAAGACATTTTTAATAAGATGTTTTATTAGCGTTTTTAGTAAAATTTTTTAAATTTCAACATCAAATTAGAGTACTTTCCTCAAATTTTCAGGTCTATGTTTGTAATTTTTATTGTTGCACATTTGATTGTCGAAAATGTGAAAAAAGAATAGTGTTGCAATTCGTCACATTACTGATTGTCGAATAACAGAATAAGGAATAATGTCGCAAATGAAATTAATGAAGTGTCGAAGATAAAGGAATAATGCCGTAAAGGAGTTAAACGAAAACAAAAAAAAAGGAGTAGTGTCGCAAATAAATTTAATGAATAATGGAAAAGAAAAAGGAATAATGTCCTGAAGGAGTTTAATGAATAGTAACAAAAATAAAAAAAACAATAATAATAACTATAAATGTGTGTTTAGATTTCTGATCTCATACTGAAATAGCCTGCTGCCGGGGAAATCAGTAAATATCCCAACTATCTTATAGCTTGCTGCCGCAAAAGAGTGCCGCTTCATCGACTGAGGGTTTGGGGTTTGGTAGCAATCTTTTCGTTCATCATACTTTGTTTTTTATTTTATCTTTTTTTCTGTAAAAGCCGTATGCTATAAAGATAAGCAAAATTGATAAGCAATTGCTGAAGTTAACTATGAGCGACGCTATTCCGTTTTTACTATTTGTGAAACTATTGCTTTTCGACACTAATCATTAAATTCATTTGCGACATTATTCCTTCTTTCTGATTTAAACACTATTCATTAAACTTATTTGCGACACTACTCTTTTTTTTTTTGTTTCCGACACTATTCATTAAATTCATTTGTTACACTATTCCTTTTTTTTGCGACATTAGGCTTTTTTTTATATATTTGACACTATACTGAAGTTCATTTTTCAACACTATTCTTTTCACCCATTAAAATATGCATCAAATTTAGTACACAGCTAGAAATACAGTGGTTTTCTGATGCGGTAATTTTAACGCCTTTTTGAATCTGAGTTAATTCTAAAAGGTGTTGATATTATCAGCATCAACAGTGAGTGGGGGAAGAGGGAGGTAGATTTAAAGACATTATGTTCGCGAACTGATGTCTTTAACACAAACATACACACACACACACACACTTACACGCACAATCACCATTTGTATGCGTTTGTACGTTTTTGTGTAAATCCTTTCCCCATTACCTGCAAGCGTACTTTATGGAAGATCCTTTAGTAAAAACTAAATTCGCTTAATAAGAATTTACAATAGAAAAAAGAATAAAAATAACGCCGTAACTCATAATGAATTTCAGTTTATAACAGCCAAAAAATTTAACAACAATTAAAACAATATACAAAATCTGAGATTTGATTTTTAATAATTTGAAATGTTTATCAATGTGGTTTTTGAATTGATTTACGTTTGTTAGTAGTAGTAGTAGTAGTAGTAGTAGTAGTAGTAGTAGTAGTAGTAGTAGTAGTAGTAGTAGTAGTAGTAGTAGTAGTAGTAGTAGTAGTAGTAGTAGTAGTAGTAGTAGTAGTAGTAGTAGTAGTAGTAGTAGTAGTAGCAGTAGTGGTAGTGGTAGTGGTCATGTAACTGAAAGTACAATTCAGCAATTTTATAGGTTTATAGCTTTATAGGTTGCATAAGTTGAACTGTTATGCCATTTCAAATCTGGCGTAATCATGATTTTTACATTTATCAATATTGAGTTTCATTTCCCAGGTTTTTTCTAATGTCATCAGCATACATTTTACACGGATGTTTAACAATATCGGATATATCGTTCACGAAAATGATAAAAAATATTGGACCTAAGACGGGTCCTTGAGGGAGCCAATAAACACTTTTAGCCACAAGCATACATAATCGCCCATCCTGATTTATTGAAACCGCCCCTTCGGGCATTTGTTTTTGAACGTTATGTTCTAAATGTCTTTTTAACGTTTTCTAAACGTGTTTTAAACGTTCTTTACTTAAGAAGAATGTTTAGACTATTAAACGTCTTATGTTTAGAAGACGTTTAATAGTCATTTAAAGTACATTTAGAACTTAAATTTAAAAACATTTGCCAGCTGGGGCGGACGTAAAAATAATTTTATTCTATTCAGGAGATTTCCAGTAAAACCATATGCCTCAAGTTTGCGAATTAGTCTCTTGTGGGGAACCATATCAAACGCTTTACTGAAATCTATAAATGCTACGTCCATTGGTATCTTGTCAGATAATGCTTTAGACATCACGTCAATCGACTTCAACAAGTTAGTCGCACACGCTGGTTTTTTTTTGACAAAACTATGTTGATTTTTCGAAATAAGGCTATGCTTGACTTATTGATTGACCATAGTATCACGTAATATTTTCTCCATCACTTTACATACAACTGATGTTAAGGATATAAAAAGGTAATTGCCTGGGTCGAGTCTACTTTCTTTTTTGAACAGTGGTGTTACATTAGCCTTTTTCCTTATTGCGTCTTTATGTACTTTTAATTTACGAACACGACCATTAGTATTAATTTATTCGATTAGGTAATGCAAATTTATTTTGTCAATTCGTTTTATTTGAACATTTGGATTAAATTACCCTGCCTTCTCCTATTTTCTAATGTGGGTAATTAAATAACTAAACAGGATATTTTGGTTGATCCAGTTTGAATATTTAAGTCTATCAACTTCTCCGTTAAAATAACTCCTCCATACTCAAGATGAGAGAAAACTATTGACTTGAATAATAAGCTAATAATAATTTTATCTGTATATTCAAATGCATGTTAGATTCTTCCAATGTGTTCTTTTGCTTTATGAATTTTATATATATACAATTGTATATACGGTGACTCCAATCTATATCATTCGAGATAAAAATACCAAGATCTTTTTCGACTTTTATTTTCTCTAATATAACTTCATCAACTTGGTATTTGTGTCTAGGGTTGTTATTTTCGAAATGCATTACTTTAAATTTTTGCAAGCTAAATTTTATCTGCT